GGCAACGAAATAAGTGCCACATGGACAAGGACGAGGTCGAGGGCATGCACCAAAATTTTAATGGACGTGCCACAAAATTGTGCCACGCCTTGCGTGCGCTTGAATGCGGAACGAAAAAACTCTTATAAATGAACTTTCACACATTATATAAAACAATTATGGAAATTAAAGCGAGCGGGCGAGCAGAGCGGCCACATTTTGGAGCAGGTGCTGTACTGCACCCAATAGGGGTATGGGGCACAAGGCAAATAAATTGAATTATAAATTGAATAATGTTCATTGCAAATTTGAAACGCTTTACAGCCACCCCTTAAGCTGCCGACAGTTTTGCGAAAAACTTAAAATAATAATTTGCTTTATTTATATTTACATTCAAGCTATCGATTGAAAATACGTCAGTCACATTTTGACAAAACTGACAAACGCACATTGAATTTACCCAAAATAATCTGCATATTTCAATTTGCTGTTGGCCGTCAGCTTCACACCAATACGTGACAGGATTTGCTTCCAAACAGCATTTCGATGACGTGCCAGAAACTTGGCCAACAGCTTACCACAGTTGCTATATTAATATGCCAAAACTCGCAGACCTGGCATACAAAATATGTGGGACACCAAAATAGTAGCCAGTGTGGTAGAAACTACAGGAGCAGACGGTCCAGACAGCTTTAACTGTGAGCATGTACGCCTTATCAATGAAGTTCATACGTCAAATGAGGGGGTGCTAAATGTGACCGATATGGGCTAAGCTAATCAGAGCGGACTGAGCAGCAGGACGTATACGCAATATTTGCATTATCAAGTCATGTCATCTTTAAATCCAATCTGTAATGTTGATTCCTTGAAATGTGAAATACGCTGTAGATCAAAATCAAAATAAAAGAATGCTTGCATCATATTGAAACATTTAATTTCATTTGATTCTAATTGTTTACAGCCAGATTCATTCTCATTAACAATCTTCTCTAATTTCAGTATAACAACTAAATTTTGTACACACGATTTTGTTTGTCCTAATTGGTGTTCCATATCTAGATCGTGTAAAAATCTGTCTGGATTAAAATGTTTCTCTTAAGACTGGTCTACGGGAAGTCTTAATTCTGTCAAGATACGGGGAAAAAATTGTTCTATATGTACAGCCCTACGATTCGTAGTTTGTATGTGTGAATAAATAAGTTAAGAATCTAATATAAAGTCTGGGGAAAATCTGTTAACTGGGTGGAAAATTATGTGATGCTATGAAACTATTTGGGTTGTTCTGGGCAGGCCATTTGGTACAGGAACTGGACTAGAGTTCGGGTTGGTCGTCCAGTCATCCGCCCGGCAGCCAGATACGGAACTAGTCCGAACTTGCTAAGCAGTCCGGTGCCGTATGTATCCAAATGAGCCCAGTCGCTGCATGGTACCAGTTCATGGAGGACAGCAGCCGCTAAACAGGATGAGGCTTCGCCAGATCCATCGTTAGCCAAGTCATAGCTTAGATTATTAGCCACACGATCTTTGTAGAATCTCCAGAGTGGGAAACGCCACAACCGATCTCCTGTGAGCGAGCCGGCCCGTTGGAATTGCTTCCAAATGTAATGCGAATTGGACCAGATGCCGGTAGCCCCGCCGCCAACGGCCTTCCTGATACCAATACACATGGAGCCAACATCGACCACAAGTCGTGGCTTGTACGTCATCTGGCCATATAGCATTGGATCTGCAACGACGACCACTCCGGTCCGGCTAACATTTCGCACAGCCATAGATTTGGCATTCAGCAGGGTGACAACGTCGCCCGGCTTGCACGACATGCCCGATGGAAGGTTTTCGCATAGTGGTAGAATTGCCGTGATGTTAATGGGTAACGACAGGGCAGCAGCAGCACGCATGGCTGCCAAGATAACCGCGGCACCCGTTAAATCACCGCGGAACTCGTCCATACCATCACTTTGTCGCAGATTGATACCACCTGAATTGAAGGTAATGCCTGGTCCTACCAGAAGGATAGGCTTGTCCTCTGGCGCTGTACCACAGTAGGCAATCTCTAGCAGTACAGGCGGCTCACATGAGCCCTTGGCAATCATTAGAAATGAATTGAGGCGCTGTTGCTCGATCCATTCCATTGTTCGCACCTCAACGGTGATGCCGCAAGGGCATAGCGCATCCACAGCAGCCTGAGCAAATATCGTTGGTGTCATGCAGTTGGCGGGCGCATCGGACAAACGTCTGGCCAAGTTCTGTGCTTCCGCTTTGAACAAGCCACGCGTCCACGAATCCATGTCAGGGGATCCGTGCAACTCCAGCTTGGGCACTACTTGACGATACTTCTTTGCCAGGTTCTCATCATAGCGCCAAACAGCAAGAGCAGCTCCCTCAGCTGCCTGCTCAGGATAGTCCATATTGTCCACATGCACCTCGATGCACTTCAGGGCCTGCAGGGATCGGGCACCAATGCCAGCAGCAACGCGAACATTCTCCATGCCCTCATCAAGCATTTCCAGCTCGTTGAAGGCGATGCCTTCAAGGCCCAGCCCAACCACGCAAATTGATCGAAAATCTGAATCCACGTTATTGAATACCTTGCCGCGCCCAAGCCGACCTGTTATCTTCGTTTCACAAATCAGCTCTGACAACTTGCCCTGCACACGATCATCGAACTTCTCGCCAGCAGGTGTCAGCCTTGGTCCTTTTCCGCTCTCCTTCTCGTACAGGCCCAAGATGATGCCCTTGCCGCCTTGCTTATTGGCCTCGCAGGATGCATAGCGCAGTAGGCTAGTCCTGTTCCAGCGAAGAGGATCAATGATTCTCAGAGTCCTTGCCAAAGACGGTGTATACAGCATACGGAGTTGTCCACGCAGGGAATGCATCCTGATCGCTGGATAGATATTAGATTTAAATTTTTCCTGAATAAATTTCGCGCTCTCAAAGGATTGTTTATTCTCAGATTTAGGAACTTGACTACGCGTTAAAAGTTTTATCATAAAAAAAAAAAATAAATAAAAATTTTACTAGATCTTTGAACTCTACGTAAAAAAACTAACGAATGATTGCCGGGACATAAATAACTAAACTGGAGACGTGTTATTAACTGAAATGCAAAACGAAATATAGATTAGGCATATGTGTAAAGTTTGTAGGAAAACTTCAAGGCCTACTAAGCCAATACAAAATTCAAAATATTTTCAAGGCATTCTATGATCGTGTATATTCTGTATGTGCATGAAATCTCATCGGTGCTTTTGTTAATTTTTTGTGGTTATTTTATGCTTCAACTGGTCAAATTTTTAATTAACTTTCTACGGATAGATAGAGAAAGCGAATGCGAAAATAAATGTGCATACCAAATACAGCAAAAACAACTGACCCTACACCTTTTTATATCAAGGGATATACTAGCGTTATTAAACGAAATTAAAAAGATGTAAGAGTGCTCTAGTCTTCAATGCCCATCTAGAGAATACGCCGAACTATCTTCTACCAAAACCAGATATAGATATCCCCTAACTAGCATTATAAAAACAATCTATAGCTCTTTTTGGTCGACTGCTCGACTTCAAAATCTTCGGTACCGCTCAGTCAATATACTATTTAAGTTCTGGGCGGAGTAACCGAAAAAATTAAAAACTCGCTATTCGTATTGCTAACGAGCATATATTGCTGTCGGGCTAAACTGTCTCAAAATCAATTTTTAAAGATATTTTGAAAATTTGAAGAATATCAAAAAAACAAGAATTAATAATGAAAATGGGAGGAAAAATTAAAAACAATTTTCGTATGGTAAACAAGGAATTTATAGACCTCTGGGTTAAACTTTCTTCGGTTTTTATCGAAATTTCGGAAATGGAACAAGTATACTTTTGTAGTTTTAGGACGATGCATTTATACAGGCTGACACAGAGGTCACTCAGCTCATCGTTCTAATCAATATATGTATTATATGGGATGGGGATATGCCTTCTTCTGCCTGTTATACAACTATTATACCCTATTTTACCTATTTGCAATGGTTTCGGCTATAGTTAGAGAGTAGGAGATACATTGAGTATTACACCGAAATCATAAGTGACAACTGAACGTACACAGCTTTATTTGAATTTCCAGAAATTAAGAGGAAAGCTAGGTGAATCAATTTGAAATTTCTCAGAAATGGAATCATGAAAAAAGAAGATTCTTGATTCTTGAAAGAATATTTTTGCCCATAGTCTGCGCCCTATTGCTATGAAATCAATAGCAGAGTATTGTGAAGTCGGCTACAAACGACAAGAGAGATGCATTACATTCAAGAGCTTTCATTACGTATACCAACTAATTTTACAAGGTATAAGCATTCTTAACTATTACGTTGAACAGACAATTGTCCAATTTGCAAACTCACCAGATACTCAAAACGAAAAACAATAAATCGGAACAGTCCTTTCGGTGCGCGATATGTCGATAAGCCCTCGGTAATTATTTGAATTCCTTTGTGCGTGATTGCGTTATCTTTTAATGTATTCGTAACTGATATATTCGCGGTTCGGTGTTATCACAGCAAAAGTACACAGTTTGAAATTGTTTAAGTTTTGTTAATTTTTGTGTGAAACGATTTGGAATATTCGTTGTGAATAATGATTAGATATTAGACCTTACTTAGTTATAAAGGGCTGCTATGTTTAAAACTTTTTTTTAAATTCGAAACCAGATTGACACAAAAGATGAGATGTGTCTTCGTTAAACGTATAAAATTAAAGTCAGTCTATTATATTAAGAATTTGCCATAAATCTTAAGAGGGATCGCTACATTATATTTACGTGACCAACTTTCGCCTCTGATGCTGGCCAAATCTTCAAATGGAGACAGGCGCCTGTTGTATATAAAAATAATTGTCAAAATATTGCGCAAAAGTTTTTACGTTGCGGCCGACGAGGAAAGTTCATATTTCCCTTGTGACCGAAAAACTTTTATCAACATCCAGCTGCCTGGATGCGGAAAAAGTGAAGTTCATAAAAATTTGTTTATTCTATTTGTATATTTTTTGTTGTTGTTGTGGTCGATTTATGCAGTTTTATTATTCAACTAAAATGGAAAACAGATATAAATGAAGGGTTTAAATCTACAAATAATTTTGAAACGAATGATTTTCAGATTTTAGGTTTGCAAAGCCCATTCATTCATCTCCGACAAACAGATTGCTCTCGTAGTTAATGTAGTTAGCGTGCGATGCGGTTAAGGTTACGACGGCGCCATGGAATTGAAGCAGGTATGATCCAATTATGTTTGTCAACAAACTTTGCAGATAGAGCATCTGAAGCCGGACATATAGCAAAAGCACCTCCGGCAGCGAGGTGCAGAAATGACGCATAACCAGATTCAGTTGGGCATAATTGCAGAATTCGTGGAACAGAAGTGTCAGCGCCCATGGCGCACCAAACCAGGCAAAGTGGCGCATCGGAAACAGTTGCCAGCTGGTTGGTAGCTTGCCTCTTCTACGAAACCAATCCAATTTTACTTCAGCTGCTGCGGATATCCTAACATTATTATTGGGGTCTGGCAGCCGGTATCTAATCTTCGCATTATCGACCTCCCGCTGGCAGCGCCAAAACCCAAACAAAAGCAATGCCGTATTCATGACTGCCTGCCACAGCATTGTATGATGATATTCATAGCCCACGTAAAGATTCAGTTTTCGGGTGAGTTGTAGATTGATGGTTTTGATGCTGGCATTGGCCTCGATAGTGGGCTTTAAATGGGCACAGATGTGCACGAGGGTTAAGGCCAAAAATAAGCCAACATACGAAAATTTAGAGATCATTTCATCGGAATTTCCTTTCGAATTTGAATTTAATCTTTTAAATGCTTTGTTGACTTTTTTGACAAAGTCTCGACAAGTTACAACGAATCAATATGAAACTTTGTTCTCCCCGCCTGCGCTGCATCTTTCCATGCCAAGCAATTGACTATTTCCCTTTAAACAGCGCATTTACAATATACTCTGTTATATCTTGAGTGAGGCCATCGCGATTGCTTCTGGTCACGTGGAAGGTGACTGCATCAGGTGAGTTTTTAAGGCGTTCCACGATCGGTATGGGTTGACGCGTACGTAAGGGTATGGTGACTAGAATGGGCTGCTTTTGCTTAAGCAATTCACTGACGGCAGCTTCAAAGCGATTGCTTAACAGCTCCATTTTCCCGATTTCATCAATTATCAGCAGTTGCGATTCGGGATTGACTTTCAGAATTGGCAGCGTTAGTTCCTCGAAATCTCTTACATAAACAGCATATTTGCCCAGCCTGGGCCGGCGTAGATTATCCGAAGGATTCTCACGGGCCAAAATTCCGCGTATTCCATTCACAGTTACCACATCGAATCCAATCCGCTGGCCATTCGCTCGTATCTCCTCCGTGTAAAAGCCTGCCAGTTTGCTGTGGACGCCCAATTCGGCGCATAGTTTGCGAATAAGCGTAGTCTTACCGACTCCTGCAGAAACATTAATTTCACTTGTAAATTAATAAATGTTCTCTCACCTGGCTGTCCAGTTATAATAAAAGCCGTTATTTGTTTGTTTTGCATGTTTACGTCAGACTTTTTATCTCTCATAAGTTTGCAAGCGTGGAAGGCTTGAAAAACAAACGACTTATGGTCCCACGATAATCTTTATAAGCTGGGATATATTTTCAATTGCTTGCTAGACCAAACTCTGCTTGAATGGCCATCAAATATAAGACACATTGTCAAATTGATTCGAGTCAGCCATTACTATGATATATTACTATTGGCTGTAAAAAATCGATGATCTATCGATATATCGCAAAAGGTTTTGTCAATTTTAGCCATATATATTTTAGTGCCTAAAATTGTGCAAAAATGTATTAAACAATTAATTATAATATTTTCAAATAATAATTTAAAAATAATTTACATGTTGCATTTATTGAAAGCTAAGTTGAAACAACTCTGGACTAGTTATACAGCTCTGGCGCAGCAATAATGCTTATCGAAAAGCATGCGTCTGCTGTGGCGGTTGGTCGATTTCAATCAGATGTTAATAGTGTGTGTGTGTGCTTGGCGGCTTTTTGCAGCGTGATTTTCATTTTGGCATACAAATTTTCATTTATGTTGCAAAATATTAGCAAATATGGAGAGCGCATTAGCGCATGATTTGGAAAATACTGAGCAACGCACAAGCGATGTTGCCGCAGGCTCAGTTTCGTTTGAGGAACTCAATTTGAACAAGAACCTTATAAAATGCCTGAAGTCACACAAATTTTTGACGCCAACCAAAATTCAAGCTGCCGCAATTCCCATTGCAGTTGCTGGGATGGGTAAGACTCTCACCTTTCCGGTTTATATTCATTTAAGCATGTATGCAAACATTTTTAAAGATCTGCTGGTGCAGTCCAAAAGTGGAACTGGCAAAACTTTGATTTATGTGCTGGCCGCACTGCAGAAGATGGATAAGTCGGTGCCCAATCCGCAAGCATTGATAATAGTGCCAACGCGCGAACTGGCCATACAGGTGGAGGACACTGTAAACGGATTGGCCAATAAACTGCGGAACAAAAATGCTTACCTGGGCGTGAGCTTTATTGGTGGCACAGACGTGAAAAGAGATCGCATGCGCATGGCTCGCGGTCGCATTGTGGTGGGCACACCAGGTCGACTGATACACCTTATGCAGAACAAAGTATTCAACACGTCCGCCATAAAGCTGCTCGTGCTGGACGAGGCAGATCAGTTGTATTCGACTGATTCTCTGCAAAAGGATGTCCAGACTATCCTAGCATCGCTCCAGCCCGGAAGCCAGATCATTGCATGTAGCGCTACCTACCCGGATGCACTAGACGAGCGTCTGGCCAAGTTGATGAATAAACCGGTTCTGGTTTCTAACAGTGAGCGTGCGACAGTATTGCTTGGTGTTCGTCAATTTGTCTATGAGCTGCCTGAGCAGGCAAACAGTATGCAGGAAATGATGGCCAAACTGGCTGCGCTGCACAAGATTTTTGCTCAATTGTCCTACGAGCAGGCCCTACTCTTTGCCAGCTCACAAAGTCGGGCCGATTCATTTCGCAACTATTTACAACGCGATGGCGTTGAATGCGATCTAATGTCGGGCGCTATGAAGCAGAGCGATCGCCTTGAGACATTTCAGGTAGACTTGACGTTTTAGTTATTTTAATTAATATAAGGCTTAAATTAACTCACTAATTTCAGTCAATTTAACCCATTTCAGGCTTATCGCAGTTTTAAAATGCGCACAATTGTCGCCACAGACTTGATGGCACGCGGCGTTGACTCTTCCCATGCAAACTTGGTTATTAATTTGGATCCGCCTAACGATCTGGTTACTTATTTGCATCGCATTGGACGCGCCGGTCGCTTTGGCGCCAAGGGCATTGCCATTACTTTTATAACCTCGCCGCAGCAATGCGTAAGTTTTAAGCGTATTATTGCCGATGCTGGCACTGGGATGTCGGTGCTGCAATTTCCCGCAGAAAAGCGCGAAGGCTTCAACTTTTGGGATTACGATTCCTATGATTTTCCCTACTATTTGAAAACAGAGGCGTATGAGCAAGAGGAGAGCGAACTAAAGCGAATAAAGCAGCGCTGGAAGCCACCGGGCAATGATGAGCAAATACCGGATATGGTTGAAATCGCCGAAGATAATTCGGAAGCAGATAATACTGTTGATAATGATATACAAGAACAGACAGAGTATTTGCAGAAAGGCAAGGAGCTCATAGAGAACGACAAGCCGATTAAAGAGATTGATATTATTGAGGAGCAGGCTCTTGAGGTGAAAAACCATGTAACTGCCATTGAGGTGGAACCGGTTTCAACTCAAATACAAAATGCAGCAGAACAAATAAAAGAGGATAAGGTTGTTCCTGCAGGCAAGGAAGAAACACTAAATATAGACAATACGGTAGCAACACATGACACGCCAATTATCATGGATAATAAGGAAAATGTCTCAAATAACCAAACACAGGTACAAAAAACAAACAAAACCGAAAATGTGAAAATAGTTGCAGAACAATTCGAGAAACCTCCGGAATTGCGAGAATCTCCCATTGAGCTCATAGAGCTGACACCTTCGGTTGAATTGCCGGCGGCTGCACCAAACTCGATTAATACCAAAACCTATTGCTTAGTTGCGCCCACAGAGCGAAGCTCAACCACATTGCACCCATTGGGCATATCAAATACTGTCGATGATGCCAGCAGCATAATATCGGACAGCATGGAGAATGATTACGATAGTGATGCTTCATATAGTAGCTGCTATTCAGAGAGCGATATGCACAACATTTGGCGGCATGCATTGACACAGCAAAAGCTTCAAAAGCGCCGCCTACGCAATGCTGGACGTCACATATACCTCTTTAATTGGCGCCGCAGTTTACCAAAAACTAAGAATTGGACCTGCGAAAGTGGGAAAAATGCCGATATGCAGTCAGAGGTAAATAGTCTGAATGTACTTACATAATGTTAAACGGTTTTAAACGTTTTATGTAGAGGGTATTAGAATTTTGTCATGGAATGTGTAACGCATAGAAGGAGACGTCTCCAATCATATAAGTTATATATATACTAAATCGGCATCAACAGCTAAGCTGATATATTCAATGTCCGTTTGTTCATCTGTTTGTTTATATGCGAACTTGCCCCTTATTTTTAAAAAAAATTTTCAAAGTGGTCGGATCGGACTACTATATAAAATAGCATCCACTAGAACGATCGGTCGAATAGTGTGTCCTTATATAAACAAATTTTTGTAATCATTTGGTATCGTAACCAAACTCGACATTTATTAGTTTATCAATGCTTCTCATATACATGCAAAATCTTACCCACATCGGGCCACTATTTCAAATAGCTGCCATACGAACGATCGGTCAAAAATAAGGTGTTATTGGAAGAATCGGTCGGAAAATTAGTTCTTGTACGGCAAAATACTCGCTTTTTGAAGCTGTTTTCGTCAAGCACCGCATTTACAAGTTTCACCGTTCTCACATATTTGCAAATGTCTAAAATCTTATTACATCTTTCTAATTCTTTCTCATTCAGGAGTGGCTGTATGAACCCAATGATAAAGAGCAGTTGCCCGAGATGAACAAGGGACAGAGCGAAAGACGTCGTAAAATCAAAATAAGTGTGAGTACATTAAGTGAAATACTAAACAATATAATTTATAATAGCGTTTTTCATTTTCAGAGACTCCTAACTTTGATCACGAAGAAACACAAATTTTTGCTTATGCTAGAGAAGTTTATTAACTTTTCGCAAATCAAAGAACGCCTGACGGCTTACATCGAGAGGGGCAAATGTGATATTCAATTGTCGGATAGATGGATAGAGCAGCTTTACGATTCAATGCGTCACTTGTACTATGTGGATCATAACAAGCCAAAGCATTTGAAAAAAATCACCTTGCCGGATAGACCCAACTTAGATAACTACAATAGGTTAATGGAAATCATAAGAGGTCATTCATGTTCACAACAGCCGTTGAGCAAACTAAGCGTACATGTGAATCAGCAACTAAACATACCGCCTGCTAATGGAATAGGTGAAAACGGTAACGCTGGGGAAGCATTTTCAGAGAATTCGGAATCAGGATCTTCATATGTGCCCCCAGAAGACAGGCTACATGCTAACGATGACATTAGTGAAAATGAAAGTGTGGGAGCTGATAGCTTGGAGCCGTATTCATCCAGCGGTTTCGTGGAGTCAGCTGAGAGTGCATCCTCGGGCATTGATACTTCACAATATGACACCAATTCGTCGATGGTTTTGGAGTCAGACGAGTCTGAGGGAGACGAGTCATCGACTAATGATGAAGAGGATGACGATGAGACTGACGAACACAGCAATGCTAGCAACACGGACTCTAGTTCATTGAATACACTAACCGCAGAAAGCGACAATGCTAATGAAAGCGAAAGTGAATCCGAAAATGAGGAAATAGATGAAGAGAGCACTCCGGATACAAGCGGCACAAATGCAAGCTCTGTGAATGATGCTGCCGATGAGCTTGCTTTGGCTCAGACCCGCTGGCAGTATTTATTCCAGATGCAGTATCAGTTTATTGCCAACTATGTTACCAATTATTTGGCGACCTATCAAAGCCAGAATTAAAAGCACTAATTACTCATATTCCAGCGCTACGAATGCGCGAATCCTAGTCTTGAAAGTCTGACAACTATAGAAACTCGGGCATTATATTTTTCTTTTTGAAATGAAATGGAATCAGTTCCCAAAAACAGCTGAATCAGCTATATATATAACTTTAAGTGAGCATTTCACGCACTATGTGAAATGCCAAGTACAAACAGAAGGAAACATATTCTAAAGAAGTATATAGAAACTTTTCGTTAACACAAACAACTGTAAAAGTTAAAATAAATATACTGCAAATGAATTGCAAGTTTGTTTTGCAATTTGTTTTTGTTTGTACATTGTATAAAACTAATATCATAATATAAAAATCGAGATAATTAAGATAGATTCCAATTTGTCATAAAATTTTAAACTCTTTGGAATCAACTGTAGTTTGCCGCCCCAAAACCAAAAGTCTTTACGCAAATTTTGATAATGGCAGAGTTTTATTACAAATTGAATTCAATAGTGCTTTTAATATTAGTGAAAAAAATTTGATGTTAGCGTAAGTTAGAAAAGCAACAAAACTTAATCTTAAGGAGGATAAGGAGGATAAGGATTCGTGCGGTATTGACCACAGGCTATTAGATCA